GACCCCTCTTGCACGTGGCTCTACAGAGGCAGTTTCAGGCATGGGACACTCGCGCCCATTCGCCCATTTGCTGAGGGCATTTGCCTTGGCCTGCCTCTGGACTAATCCGTCTACTCATGGGGCAACGTGAGAACAGGTTTGGCCCGTCCTCCGCCGCCAGTGAAGGATCGCGAAGTCCGGGTCACCGTGTCCAACAGCGCAGTCGGCGGCGTCCGGGCGGCGAAGGTCGCGGTGTGGCGCGTTGGCCGATGACAATGAATACTTGCATGCTTGACTGTCAGGTTCAGGATCTGTTTTGCAGCCTGTTCTTAAAATGTTTACAGGCCTTTAAGCCGCCAGGCCAGCATTGGTAAGCAAACTCACAAGCCAGCAGTAAAGCTTATGTTTGCATGGCCACGGAACAGCACCGCATAATGTATAGTAACTCTACAATCATCAGCAGTGTTATTCACGTTAGATGAATATGTTTCTTCTGCATTTGCTTGTACAATGTCACAAGTGTGAGGGAAGTCATTGTGGGACAGCTTCCGTCGTCAGTCAATGAACAATCCAACAATCTCTGTGACTTAAAATATTTAATTACACTTTTTTGTCAATATTGAGCTGTTCCTTGCTCTTCCACAGAGATATAACAGGTATTGTGGCGGCAAATCTTCATGGACACCGTTACCACTCATGTCAGTCATCCTTAGATCGCGTTAATGACTTGGCATGCGTTCCAAACCTTTACGTCACGTGTTTTTGTCGGAATGTTTAGCTAGGTTGCAGCTTGCACCGCATCTGTTGAGCCTTCTTTAAGAGTTCTATTGGGGACGGGGAGACCCTGGCGTGACGCCGAACTTCAGAGGTAGACCTTTTGATGGACAGCTAGAAAATATGTTTGAGATGGTAGGTTCTGGCAGAGCTTAGTTAATGAAACTAACCTGCGCACCGAGCAGTATTTAGCAGCGGCTCAGTGTGTCTCACCGCACCGGATAATTGGCTTTGGTTCCTCACCGCATACATGATATATGTATGCGGTGAGGAACATGAGCTATGTATCATGAGGATACATGAGCTATGTATCAAACCTGAAACAGCATGCCGTTGGTACCAATTTCAAGCCTACCCCTTTAACCTACGCCCACCCGTGCGTCTGAGACGACCGCGCGCGTGTGGGGGAAAGCTGACTTCCCCTCCAGTATCTCAAACTTCCGGATGACGTAAGAGAAAAAGTTGTTGTGAATGTCCCGTCAAATCATCAAGACCGCATCCCAAATTTTTGACCTCAGGTCAACTGTGAGGTCACTAGAGATCACGAAATGTATCAAAACGGTCTTTCTGATAAACGCACTTCAAGCATATGTTAACACGTCAGGGCGGATACTGACGCCACTGATGTGCGCGTTAAGTCTGTGAGGAGCCCATTGCGACCATTTCTGTCCCCTCGCAAAGGTATGGTAATACCGGTCATCGCTCAACATTGGAGGGAGGACCCTTCCATTGCTGAAAATTGGAGCGATGAAAAATATTTATGCAAACGAAAGCAAGAAAGTTTTATTTCGCAATGTCCTTCAAGCTTAATCTATTAGGTGCAGGTGTGAGACAAAAGCACCCAATCATTTTAAGATGACCTAGAGGTCAGCTGAGCTCAACTAAGGTCAAATTCTAAGCCGCCAAATTGACAAAATTGAAATGCTCACCGGGTCCGTGTCACCAGTGTAATGGTTTTGTGAGGCCAGAAATAGTGCGTTGTACATCTACAGATACTCAGCATCGCGTAATTGTTTTAAACATTGCACCTAAAACCTTGGACGCTTGGTAATGTATTTGTAACAAACTGGCAACGGGCACCTTGCTACATGGGATTTTACGTCATCAGTTTCATGAACACGATATGGGTGTGGTTGCACGCGTCGCACTCGTTCATCTAGCCTCTCCGCTGCCGACGACCGGGGACATTGAGCCTGGATGATCTCACATGACCTTTTATGTCCTCACGGACCTATTGTGAGCTCATTATGCATCATTATTATATCACATGTTTTCAATGGAGCATTCATATTTGGTGCCCAAAATTATCGAAAAAGCTGCCTGCGTTGGGCTCAGCATGTGTTTTGCAGAAGGTACTGATAGAGGTAGGTCATGACCCGAGCAAGGCAATGATGCGCTCTTTGCTCATATGATCGCTGTGCATACGAGATCGTGCTATTTTCCTCGCATGCAAACACCAAATCTACACAAAATGCGTGCAAAATTACATGATTTACGACAAAATTTGAAAATTGACTTGACGCCAAGTAACTAATCACGCCTGTGTTGGAAAATCCGAAATATACATGCTGAAGGTATTATTATGTTCTAATACAACATGTGTTTTGCCCGTAAGTTCTGTGACCCTGATGTTCGTATATCGCCTGACCCACATTTGCTCGATGCGCCTGAATTTAACAGCTTTACCGTACCACATGGCTGTGTAGCACGCTTGTTACGCGATCTCAGTGCACACAAGACCTGTGGTCCCGACGGGCTCAGTGCCCGGATTCTCAGGGAATGTGCTGAGGAGCTAGCTATTCCGTTAGTAATAATATGTAAGCTTTCTCTAGACTCTAGCGTCTTCCCCGCCATGTGGAAACAAGCGAATGTGACACCGGTGCGTAAGAAGGGGTTCAAAAAGCTGCCTGGAAATTACAGACCTGTGTCGTTGCTTCCTAGCTGTTCAAAAATACTGGAGAAATTTGCGAGCGATAGCCTATCGCAGGTTTGTCTGCCCGCCCTTCTCTCATCCCAGCACGAACTCCTTCCAAAGCGCTATTGCATCACAAGCCTTTCATGTTTTCTTGAACGCTGCTGCACATCTATCTCAAAAGGTAAACAAGCAGATGCAATTTACACTGATTATTCTTCATCATTCACCAGCGTGAAGCACCTCCGTCTGCTGCACAAGCTTCGCTATTCTTTTTGCATCACTGGCCAAGCGTGCAACTGACTGGAGTCGTACCTCAGCAATCGTTCACAACGTGCAGTGCTCAGCGGCAAACAATCTGACTGGATTCCAGTGCGATCTAGTGTCCCGGAAGGCAGTCTGCTAGGGCCGTTGCTGTTCGCCTGCTTTCTGGCTGATGTTCCTGACCAAATCGAGCGTGAGTGCCTTACGTAGGCTGAGGATGTGAAAATTCATCACTGAATCGACAATGTAGCAGGTTGTCTTAACACTTCAGGCGGCTTTGGATCGCCTCTGTGAATGGTCCAAAAACTGAGGACTGGAATTGAACCCAGCTAAGTGCAATGCCATCTCATTCGCCCCAGCACGTCACCTATTCACTACTCATACGCACTAGACGGTCACCACTTGGATAGCTGCCAGCAGATCCGTGATGTTGGCGTCATGCTGGACAACAAACTCACCTTTGCCAATCACATAGATTCAGCTGTCTCAAAAGCCAATAGGATGCTGGGCCTTCTCATGCGAAGCGTGCAAATGCCGTCGTGCCCTCGTCAGGCGCGGTTCAATCACAAGGCTTTGCTTTGTGCCTTCAACGCTCATGTGAGACCATTGATAGAGTACGGCAGCGGTATTTGGAGCGGTGCTGCCGTTTCCCATCTCACCTGGTTCGAAAGACCGCAACACAGCTTTTTCATATGGTTGGATTCGCGTAGCCAGTCTCGGCGTCCTCCACTGGATTATGAGCATCTTCTTGCTTTCTTCAAAACATCATCTATCAAGATACGCTTCACTCAGTCTGACATTTTATTTTATACAACGTATTTCAGCACAGGCTTGACTACGCTCACTTGACATCACTGTTCAGTCTGGCTACATCCTTCCGGGGTATTCGGCATATTGGCCGTTTCCACCAGCCATTTGCAAGGGTTGAAAGCCACTGTTGAAAATGGATTGGTCTCACGACTGCCCGCTACCTGCAATCAATTTTTTGCAGCATTTTCCTTCACTGACTTTTTTCATCCAACAAAATCATTCCGATCTGATTTGTTTAGGTTCGCCGGCACACGTGGAATATTTTATTCATGATTTGATCCGCGGCTATGTGTGTGCGTGTGCGTGCGCGTGTGTGTGCGTGTATGTGTGCGTGTGCGTGTGCGTGTGCGTGTGCGTGTGTGTGTGTGTGTGTGTGTGTGTGTGTGTGTGTGTGTGTGTGTGTGTGTGTGTGTGTGTGTGTGTGTGTGTGTGTGTGTGTGTGTGTGTGTGTGTGTGTGGTGTGTGTGTGTGTGTGTGTGGCTAGGTTTTTTGTTTGTGTGTGCATCGTATATTTATTGTTCGTAAAACCGGACTGCTGCCGTAATTGGGCTTTTGTCTGGGAAATGCTAATGTCCTAAATAAACAAATAAACAAATATTACAGCAAATTTGCGCAAAGGACAACTAACCCACCAAAAAATATGTTTGGTAAAGGTTTTGTGGACGGCGCCCGGGTGGGACACGGGCGGGCCGGACCCACTCGTCCGGCCAGCGGATGGGGACCCGAGGGGGTCGACCCCTACCTGTCACAGCGGGCGGTCGGGAAGGGTTTGGCAAACGAGGGAATTATGTCCCGGTCCGTTGTCCCCATCCGTTCCGGAAATCAGGCGCTTTGAAACGCCGCGCGACTAGATTCGACTAGGGCCGGGCCTCAGCCTTTTGCCACGAAAGGCCAGAATCGACAATACTGGTACCCGGCAGTGAATTAAAAACGTACAATTATTATGTTCATCTACAGAGCGCCGTCACTAAATCACCGTGAGTTTAGAGCTTGATCAGCTTTGAATTCCCGATCACCATTAGGTAAAGTAAGGTGAGGTGAAGCAGGTTTTTTGTTCTCCGTGGGGAAGAACTTTTGGTTTTATATTGGAATAAGAAATTGTTTTTTAATTTGCTTCGTGTTTGAGCCGGGTTTTGCAGGAAAATAATTTCTACAAAATCATAGAGCCTAGAAATGCAGTAGCAAAATCGATAAACTACTGAGCAGCTCTGTCCTTGAAGCTTGCCACTCTGTTCGCGCCATTTCTGTAGCATTCTGAGTTTCTGACGTTCATTTTGAAGAGTCGCGCGCAGGCGGCGTGGAGCGGTGACGGTGGGGTTGCTTGAGAATATAAAGACTAGTTGTGGATTCAGTTCAGCGTCATACGCTGTGGATAGTATTGTAGCAGGCTGAACGTTGGTGAGTATATGTAGCATATGCGTACGATGTTAGGCGTAAATGAATGTTGAAAACCATGCTCTCCCCCCTGAATTTGACCAAATTTCTTCTCGAAGTTGGTGGGGGTAGGCTAAAGTCCCATCAAGCTGAGAAGGAAACCACATCCCTGTACCCAAACTTGATATATCTGAGTCAGTAGAAGCCTAGATGGGTATGACGTGGCCTCATCATTTGTCCCTCAGGTGAGAAAGATGGCACCTTGGCTGGTAGCAAGCTACACTAATTGGTATGTGCCAGATGCCCACATATATGTTGTAGCGGCTTGCAAGATTGTTCAATCACAAAGTTGTAATGATATGTCCTGGGTTATTTCCAAACAGGTGCACAATATTTTAAGCATTGTTTTCCAATGACTAATTGATACACCTTACAAATTGAACTCAAGATGAATAATTATATACTTAGGAGTAAAGTACCTACTTGGAAACTAGGAAATGTAAGAAGCATAAGCAGTCAATCTTCAATAGCTTTTGGCAATCACTGAGATGAGCTAGTGCAAGGTATTTACTGTCAACTACTGTTAATGAATGTCCCGCAGTACCAGTAGTGTACATGGTGCAAATCTGCCACACTATTTTGTTTTCTCTACAAGCTGTGTTTTTATATTTTTGTTTTCCCCAACTGCTGAAACCAAATTCCAGATGCTGTTACTTTATGATAGCTGCAGGTTAGGGTGGGGGCTTGCAGTATGTGATTTTGCTGTGCATTTTCTAACAACATTGTTACCTGCATGGTGCCCATCCACCATGGCTAGTGAGCTTGATGCTGGCCTTATTGCCTGACAGCAATGTGCATAGTGTGGCCCATCAATTTAACAACAAAACATGATTGTCAAAGCCATTAATTGGTCCCCAGAATAGGCACTTTCATGCTGAAATGGACCCTCCAGTCAGGTATGGACTATCTGTAGGCCAAAATCAGTAATGTACAGGCTCAGAAGTGCCCCATTTTGGTCTGAATGGACTCTAAATAGGCAAGAATGGCCCCAGCAGGTCAGAATTAACTTTCTGGCTGACATAACCCCGGTATGGCTCAGAATCAGCAGTATCATTCCGGACCCAGAATGCCTCCATATGCCCTGCAGTTTGGGGGAGTGTTAACTTCCATCTCCCAGCTTTTAAGAAGAGGGGCGAGGTGTTTCCACTTCCCCTGGTTCCCACATCCTTGAATGTTTGTGAGCTTTGTTGCATGGCAGTGTTTAGTAAGGGCTATAAGAATGGTTTCTCTCAATAAATCTGAAAAATGTGTTTTTGTACATAATTTTGATATGGGTTGGCACATTTAAAAGCTTTTCTGCTCAAAAATATTTTAGTGCACTGTTGGTTCAAAATTCCTTGCGTGATATGCAACAAACCATGCTTTCAACCTACCTATTTTTACACTTTGTTTTACCTTTATATGCCTTTTGTTGCAAGGCACTGATGTGCACTTGGTATGCGAATTATGAATTATGACTTTTGAATATTCAGAGCTTAACAGGAGCAAAGAAGCTGCATCCGCACTGACTCATGCCTTAAAATTAACATGTGCAGCAGCTGCAGCAACATATGCAGATGTGTAGCAGTGCCAACATAGCATTGAAAAATGATTAATTTCTCCATTCTTGGTAGATGTGCATGGGTGCCTGTACCCCCCTTACCATCATGAAGAAGATTCAGCAGCAGTTCTGTGCCAAGATTTTACAAAAATAATTTGCCTATTTCTGCATTGTGCCATTGTCTGTCACCAGTTGCACCTTTTTCCCCTCTGCTCTATTCCTACATCATGGCTTTAGCACTATTGCAGCTTTCATTGGTCTGATGATAACTGAAAAAGTTTTGCAGATGATGCTTGGCAAAGCCATGCTTTTGAGACATGTGCCAAGTTCAGCCCCATTGGTGGATTCTAGATCCCATGGCATTCTTCATTGAAATGCCTGAAAGCATACAACTAATTTTTGCAACCCAGGCTCGTGTCTGGATGTGTGCACAATTGTGTGTGCCGACTACTGGTAATGCAAGCCTGCATATAATTTCCAAAATGTCTCAACAAGTAGGCTTGGCTGCTGGAAGTGTTTGTCCAACAATTTTGTTTTTTTATAAATTCGATTCAAACCCTTTGAATGGATAGATATGTGGGATCAGCATGCACACTAAGCAGTGCTTGTTGTGTGAGCCCTGACCCCCACTGTCCGATTGCACAATTCCAGGCAATGGCAGAATTTAGTGGCAAAAGCTTAACGTGCTGCAATGCTCGGCACCGTCCGTCCTGCCCTCCGACGTCAACTGACCTTTAGCGCGACCGCTGCCATCGGCCGCAGGCCATACCTGCCAAGGGCAAATAACGAGCGCCCTGAAGCTAGTCGAACCCATCCTGCCACGGTTGGGTGGATGGGAAGGCAGGCGCTCTAACCAACCGAGTCGCCGGAACGGCCAATGAGGCATGTTCGTGCCAACTCAAGTTCCATTTGTTTCAGATTCAGCTGAGGGGGCCGCAATGGGCAGGGAGAGCGAGAAGGCGCGGCAGCGCAAGATGGCGCGGCGCGCCGAGAAGGAGCGGCTGGCTGCCTCCGGGAGCTTAGTCAAGCTGGCCAACAGTGTGCCCGACCTGATGGCCGAGCTGGCCGCGTTCCGCCGATATGACCGGCGCGGCGTGAGCGTCGCCCTTGAGCACCGCAACGTGGGTGACCTGAGCGACGCCGAGCTGGACGCCATGCTGACCATCTGCCGCGACAACATGCGCGCCCTCTACAACTCGTGCGAGTGGGGCTGGAACGACAAGGAGAAGCGCGGTGAGATGACGGAAAGCATGGCCAAGTACTTGGTGGCGCGCGACGGCGACTCCAAGATCGTGGCCTTCTGTCACTTCCGCTTCGACCTCGACTATGACGACGAGGTGGTCTACTGCTATGAGATCCAGCTGACGAAGCCGTACCAGCGGAGCGGACTCGGCAAGTTTATGATGTCGATCCTGGAATTGATGGCGTTCAAGAAGCAGATGCTGTATGTGCGGCTTACGGTCCTGAAGCACAACGACGTGGCCAACAACTTCTTCAAGTCCTGTGGCTACGTGCGCGACAAAACCTGTCTTGATGACACCATATATCAGACTTACTGCTACGAAATTCTCAGCAAGAAAAATCCTCGGAGGGAAGATGTCAATGTTGGAAACGTCCCGCAGATCAGTGTCAGTAAAAGCCAGCAGCAGAGCTGTACCTGAGCTGTCAGTGCAGCGTTGCTGAGCTCCTCGAGAGGGCGTTTTGATGTGCATGTTGGAGCGTGCGTTGAACCTGCCCTTTGCCAACAGCTGTCGTCCTCAGACATGACATCTTCCCACTTGTTTACAATTTCGGATTTGGCCGTCAGGGCACACTTGAAGGGTGCTGTTGTATGGTGGGTAAGGTGCCACGGGTGTGTTGTTGGGACGATGTTTTTGTCGTGTATGCTCGTGACACGTGGCCATGCGTCAGTTATCGACTGTAGAGGCTGTTCCATCTGCACGAAGGCATTTTAGAAATTGACGAGTTGGGAATGTAAAATTTTGATAATACATCGCTCTTTTTTGTCGTCCTGTTTATGGTTGCGTGGTGACCGAACGCCTGAAGAAAACTTAGCTGGTCAAAACAATTAGGGATGAAGCACAATTCAGGGTTGAGGGTATTACAGATGCCTTTTGCCACGTGTCTGCCGGCAGTGGCGCATGCTATGGACGTTGGATAAAAAGGGTTTAACGTCAGCAATCCTGTGCCCCGCTGTTCGTCTCGTGCTTATGGTCCAATAAGGGTGCGTTGTCTCCGCCGCTAGCTCCTTAAGAGTAACCATCTGTTTCGGAGCCAGAGGATGTCGCTTTTGCAAGGCAGCACGCGGAAGATGAGTTAAAACTCGGCTTCCCTCTGAGGTGTGTGGTGACCGGCTTGGTCGGCCTTGCGGAACATGAGTTAAAACTCGGCTATCCTCTGGGGAGGTGTGGGGTGACCAGCTTGGTCGGCCTCGCACGTGGAACCGATTCTCCCTCCACTTGTCAAATGTGCTGCGGCCGGGCTCACGGACATGGACGACCCGCTTTTAGAGGGGGGAGGGGGGCTGCTAACTGCGTATATATACATATACACATATATATATATATATATATATATATATATATATATATATATATATATACTATATATACATATACTTACATGTGTGCATGCCATGCCTTCAACACTGTGAGTGGTGCTTTACTTGGCGCATGACGAACGAGTCTAATGAACATTGACGCATCGCCTAGGATCGCAGGCTGCTGCAGGTCCGGGGTTGCTCACGCGGAAATATTTGCCATAGCTCACGACGTGTGCCCTTGGCGCAGGCGCGTAGCCAGGGCATTGGTAGGGGGCACATGGTTGACAAAGGGCTCCCTGAAGTGAAAGGTCCCACCAGAAATCGCTGGATGCGGCCAATTTATTGATGCGAGCATGTTTTTTTCGTATTTTCATTTGCATCTTCTATGACTGGAATGGAAGCCAGAAGCTATCGGGAAATCAATTCTGCCTGCATTGTATAGTCAACACACTGAGGAAATCATGCGTAAAGCGATTGCATGAAATGTATCACCAGCCCTCTTCATTATACAATGGTCCAATTAACTCCTGAACTGAGATAACTCGGAAGCTTTTTCAGAATTTTTATCTGGGTTCCACAGAGGCCTTCAGGAGCCCGCGAATGTAGACCGAAATGGGCAGCAGTTTGTTTTGATTACGCTAAAGGATGTTTGCCTGGAAAAGTTCAACATTTAGTCAGAATTGATAAGTGGCACAAATGATGCAACGTAGTTTTGAGCATGCGCGCTCGTGGATCCTAGCAAAAACAAACTCGAAGCCAGGCGTTGCAGTTTCCTCATGCCGTGCAGCGTCGGCCCCGTGGCTGTGGCCCCGTGGCTACTCAGCTGTGGCCAACGGGTGGACGAAAATGATGGCTTATTTGAAAAAGACATCTTTGAACGCTTTGGGACATCAAGTGACACATCTACACAGAAGGTAGTATATTTCACCTGCGCGATTTTTGGTTTGATGATAAGAACTATTTGGCCTTTACAGCACCGCGCATTGGTGTTGGAATGATGGAATCGGGTGGTGGAACTGGAAGAATAAGGGTAGAATCTCTATTTTTCGTGTTGCTGTTACTTTAAGCCTATCTAGAGGAGAACTTAAAAACTATAAAGATGTGTGTGCATTATCATTGAATGATACGAATTTTGAATTTTATTTTTTGAAATAAGGTATTCGGAAGGGATATTTCACGACGGTTGTTATCGAGCGCACGACGCCCGCCGTCTGGTGCTACCCACAGTGGTAAGCACCGTTCTGCTTCACGGAAACTACAATCCAGACAATCGCTATCCTTGGTTCCGAGATTGCGAGCACGCAGGCTCAAACCTTGTGATAAAATTCGTTTTACCCCAGCTAATAGAAATTACCTGTCCGGCATGACTAATCTTGGAGATGGACCCCCAGGGCTCAGACCGACACGGAGCCGCCTGTTGGATGTATGTGGCCTCTTGCTGAAAGGGAGGTCCGCAGTGTCCCAGAGATCCCCAATCAATGCATCCCTTATAGGGTTACATCATATCACATTGGTCCCATTCTGACGAGGAACGAGTTGGAATGGGACCAATGGGAAAGGAACGACCCGCGCAGTTGGCCCCGGAGCAACGCGACGCAGCAATATCCCTGATCGCCGCAGGTGGTCTGATAGTTGGCACATAGACTCCAGTTCAGCTTAACAGGCTCATGCTGGAATTGGGTTGGAGGGTTCGCCGTTCGGTACCGGGGGCCCTGACTGGCACAGGGCCCTTTCATTGCCTCAACGTGGACACTTATCATAAGTTGAAATGTTTTCTTTCATTGGCAGAGGGGCACGACCAACGCAAGAAGTCGTCTGTCATTCGGGATCCTGTCCCCGTTCCTGTTGAGCAAATGGTATTCTTGAGTAAAACTGGGCCATTGACCGAAACGGAAACCCCACGTGGTTGCAGTGGCCTCAATCAATAGATATCGCGAGCCCGGCCTTGTCTCTTCTTGGGACAATGGGCCCCAATAGCTCAGACTGGCACGTGGCGGACTGTTCGGTGTTGGTGATTTCTGGGCCAAAATGTAGGAATGCCCTGTTTCAGCGCCAGTTTTCAGGGGTTTCAGGGTTAATGATCTCTGACCAAAATACGGGAGTGACCTGTTTTAGGGGTCCGCGATCTGTGCAAGAGACTCTAACTTGATCACGAGATCACGGCCCCACGGGTGGGGGTACTAAATGTGACCTACAGCGAGCCCTTCGGGCCCTTCAGCTTTCCAATGAGGCCCTTCATTCTTCTTCCCGGGAGGCCCCGTGTCCCTTTTCGGACCTCCTCAAATAAAGCCTGTACCGAGTCTGGGCCACTAGCCGACACATGACCCCCTGTTAGGCGCTGTGGACCCTTGATCGACTTAGAGGCCCCGAACGTTTTTCAGGGACCCATACCAATGCAAGTCGTGGCTCTCAGCCTTGCTCCTGCTTGGGAAATGGGCTCCCAGGGCTCAGACTGACAAGGAGCCCTCTGTTCGGTGCTCGTGAACTCTAGCCGACCGAGGCACCCGCATGGCCTCAGGGGGTCTTCAAACGGTGAAAGAGAACCTCTGAATGATATTTTAGGTGACGACTCTAATGATCCTAATTCCTAATGACAAACATGGGTCATTACAAAATGTATTTCGGCATTGTACACCAGGCGTGCCAGATGAATATTCTAAGAGACGTCCTTGTAGCTTTGCGTCAGCTTTTTCTTGATGTGCATGAAAGCTCGGAAGTCTCACCCAGTTTGCACGACAAAATACTACTGCACACACTGGTGAAAGCTGGATGTGCCTCGCCAGATGTACTCGGACCTCCAAGTCGGTTGTACTAGTGCCAAAATGTATGGTGATATATATATTAGCACTCATAAAATTTATCAAACTTCCAAAATATGGGCTTTGAATGAACAGTTAATATTAAATGGATTGCTTAAGCTTCTCTGCAAAGTGGTGAGTACTTTCGTACACAGATACAACGCAAGATTTGCTGTTTCAGACGATCGAGAAAAACGCTGGACGAAATGATGCTAGCTGGACATGAGCAGCTCCGTTTGATAGTGAAAACAAGACCTGCCAGATAGCCCGCCCCAAAATCACCACCATTGCGAACGAAAGCTGGGGCATCTGCAGTCGCGCTTGCAGATACCCGTTGCAGGGGGTATGGTCGCAGTTATCGGTCTGCGGACCCAAAACCTATTGTTATATGGCGTCCGCAACAGGACCTGCGTTATGTGTGCGGGGGCCGGTAGTCGGGCGGCACCG